AAAACTAAAAATAAGTAGTGTGTGTGTGTGTGTGTGTGTGTGTGTGTGTGTGTGTGTGTGTGTGTGTACACACATATACAAAATGTGTGTATACTTAAATTAAGATTATGTATAGTTCTTTTTTTGTGCGCAATTTATAAGAATGTTAACAAAGCACGCGAAATATCGTGCGTTTACGCAGTTGTTTTAAAAAGTATGCCGTTGTGTCGATCGAATTATGTACACGTGTGCGTATGCCTGTCGATTGAAATACTCAATGTTATGTCGTTCTGCATATGCATTGTCGTAACAAAACACGAATAAATGGAAGAACGTCTTTTAAAATGGTGTCGCATCGAATATCTTCGAGTGTCAACATTCTTTAATCATGTTTTTCTTTTCAATAATGTATGCTTCGTTTTCTGATTTCGTACATAAAAACATTCGTAAAAAAATCATCTAATCATCGCAAAAGATTTCTTATTTAATGAAAAAATATTAACAGGATTTATGATCTTTTCTATCTAAAGAGGCACACGCATTCAGATAGATTTATATGCCAGAAAATTTTGTAATGACAACGTTTATATTATCACTATGAGATTAGTTTCATAAATCAAAGTTTTATACACATATATATTTGAATATTGATAATGAATGCAAAGTTTTTATCATATCGCTTGTTAATAACTTAATTCAGTACACATCCATAAACAAAGATGTTATAATCACAAGTCGTGATCAATTTGATCGATATATTATAATTGAACTCATTCTCTCCTTTCTTCAACACCATTTTTAAATCGTTATCGTACGATTAAAGTATTAAAAAGATATAAAGATTCTTTAAATTTATTTTGACGAACGTGTCGATTGCAACATATATATTCTCTATGACATGTTATAGCGTTTTATTCATGTAATTAAATGACAAGATATTTTTTTACATTGGAAGACATAAAATAATAAGACTAGAGGTAGATTTTTTAGATGCCCTTTTCAGACATCGCAAACAAATTTTTTGTTACAAAAAATTTTGCGAATAACAAGTTTTACGAATGTCCATCGGATCAAGCTTGCCTGATTAAAGAAATATACGTCACGAAGCATCCTCGTGAATATTCAGGATTTATAATCAATCTGAAAGATTCGTAAATATGAATGAAAATAACACGCGTTTTTGACGTGTGATATGTTGTACATATGTCTAATATATTGTTACGTGATTATGCAATCTCTTTATAAATATAAATTCTGCTGTATTTTACATTAAATGTAGCTTTTTAAAGTTTAAAATTCTATTTAATATAAAGATTGCAGTTTTATCCGTTATTACGAAAATCATGTAATTATATTTAACGTTGTACGGGTCATTTATGATCGTATTTGAACAGTATATGAACAGTGATACGCGATGTACATTAATAATAATAATATTATGTGAAATGTATCAGAGTATACTTGATCTAATCATTATGGCGTAATATTTGCTTGTATGCTTAATTGCATATGCGTAGTCGCTAAGATTATTGTAATGTGGTTTTGTAAGAATTTGTAGATGAATGTTGTATAAAGCTCTTAAGTGCACAAGAATCATTTCTCTTATTTACATGTATATACATAATAGACAGAATAGCGTGCAAAATGAGAAATGATTGATGACTTTGGAGGCATAGTACAAGACAAAACTGCTCGATTTATATCTTATTTGATGATATACATTCTATGTACATTTATTAAATATATTAAAAGATAATAGATGTCTCGAGAGAAACGATTTAAATGCTTTTTAATACCTGTAGTTAAATCGAGAACATTGATTTAATGTTCTCGATACGACTAGTATTCCTATGAAGAGATTATAATGAAAATCGAGATGCGAGCATTTTATGAATTAAATAAATGATTTAAAATTCTGAAATGACACATTTATCATTTTTTAAATGTAATCCTCTTTTGTACCATGAAGATGCGAAATAGTTTCCTCGAAGGGGGGAGGGGGGTTGCAATTTAAAAATCAAATCATATTTACTTTTAAAAATTTACATACGATATATTGTCACTTTCAGAAGTATTTTCATTTTTTTCTTCTAATATTCTTAATATTCTGAAGGTTTAAGAAAGAGCTCAAGAATCGATTTAAGAACTGATAAATAATTCTGATGTAAAGCCCCCATCTACTTTATTTGTAAACAATAAAAATTGAGTAGTTTTCTTCTTAACACAAAGGAAATTAATATCCTGCTTATAAATTCAAAATTTATATCTTCGAATGATTATAAAGAACCTTTATTCGTTTTTTTTCTTCTTGCATGAAGACATAGAGATATTATGAACATAGAGATATGTTTTGCCTGTATACCATTATACGAGGCTGTAGAAAAAATATCGCCTGATTGAAATAGAAATGCGCTTTCATCTCTTTTGAGTTTGTAACTGTTTATTGACTGTCCCTTAATCTTTCGTACAATAATATAACAGAATAGAATTGATCGCGACCTAGTCACGTCGATAATTTCCATTATAACAATATTAATTACAAAGGACGTGAGTGTAGTGTATCATGTGTATCATGTTCACGGCATTAATTTTTCAGCCATGCCTCTCCTCTCCGTCAAACGACATTGATGTTGAGCTGTAACGGTTCGCAAAAATACAGAATGTTGGTTTCCCGACAAGAAGATTATTAGGCACAAAACATAGCGAGATAAAATAATCTAATATCCTGCCAATTCGGCGAACGTCGAGTCCATTTCATCGGCCAGCGACTTGTATCTGTCCTTGTTGATGCCCAATTCATCTGAAAAGCAAGATGATTTTATTTCATTCGCTGCTTGTGACGAAAAAAATGTTATATATATATATATATATATATATTTGAGTAAAAAAAATATAAATTCTCACCTTCGAGCCTATCAACCTCCTTCTGGAGCTTCTTGACGGTCTTTTCGGCAAATTCTGCGCGAGCTTCGGCTTCCTTTAGTTTGACCGTCAAAGTTTTCAATTGACGCTTGAATTCTTCGACTCGTTGATTGGCCTGAAAACACATATGATGATTTAGTTTAATAAGATATTTATGGTGAGTTATAAAAATCAAATGAATTTTAAATATTTTAACATTTTCATTAATTAATATTTAACATTAACATATTTTTATTGTACCAAAGAATTTATCCTCTCGAACGAAACAAATGTAATACTTTGCTATTTAATTTAAAAAAAAAAAATCACAAACGTACCTTTTCTTCGGAGACTTCCAATGATTTCAAGCTGTTACCAACAACCTTCAACTCTTCTTCCAGTTCCATGATCTTGCTATGAAATGCGGGAAACGAAGTTACAAAAATATGACCGAGTTTATTTCATTTATTTTGGCATTACGCCAGAATGATCTAACACTTACGCCTCGCCAGATTTCACACGATCCTCCGCGACTTCGAGCTCGTCCTCAACGAAGGCCAGCTTGCGCGACACTTCATCAGATTTTCCGTCGGCGTCCTCCGCGAGCAGGCGAGCCTCCTTCAGCTGGTTCGTCAGTTGGTCCATCCTCTCCTCGTCCTGCTGCGCCCGGTTTTCCAATACTTTGCACATACTGCAATCGTATCACATTTCGTAATGTGGCACAGGGACGGACAGGTCGATTAAGTCGTACAATTACCGGCTAGACTCGTCAGCGGCCTGCGACGCCTCGGTCAGCTTGGCGGTCGCGGTGTTCAGTCGTTCCTCCGAGCGCTCGAGGTCCTCCTCAATAAGCTGGACTTTTCGGTTAAGGGCAGCGACCTCGGATTCAGCCTGGAGAAGTCAAATGTACAAGGATAGACGAGAAATTTATATATACGACTCTTTATTGTTCATAAAATATGACACAGCAATAACGTTGTATGGTATAATATCACAGAAACGATAATATCACAGGACGATTATGTTGAACTTAAAAATTTGGCCAGATTCATGCAACCAAAATAATTTTGTTGAATCGTCAAAATAATTAGGGCACTTAAGAATAGTGATACTAAAAATTATTTGGATATTCTATTCAATTAAGTTGAATCATCCTATATAATATTATTTTAATGGTCCAAGAAAATTATTCTCAGATCTGAGTCTGAGCCAATTTTTAAATATTTCAATAAAACTATTTATTTTCTTTCCGTGAACACAATGAACACAGAAAATAGAATTATACACGATGAAAATCTTTAATGACCCCGTTAAAGTTACAATGGAGTTATGTACGTAAAACTTACGTTGGTAAGAGACTTTTCGCGATCCTCGAGATCCTTGTTAGCCTGCTCGAGAGCTTGCTTGTTAGCCTCCAGATCCGCCTCAACCTGAGTTAATTTTTTCCTGAGGTCCGCGACTTCCTCGAGGACCTTGTCCGCGCGCAAATTCGCATCTTTCGCCTGCGCTTCGCAGGTATCGGCCTTGTCCATAGCATTGTCTTTCTCAAGCTTCATCGCTTGCATTTTCTTCTTGATGACATCCATGGTGGCGGCTTTGTTTTGCGAACTGCGTTACCAACGAAATTACCGAGTTTGCTGAAAATAACGTTCATGTTAAATTCCACCTCTCTCGTTACGAATGACCGAATCGCGTTTTTTTGGACGCGAAAGGATGGCGCATTTGGATGATTTCTCCGTTGGTGATTGGAGATGACGGCTGCATTTTGCAGCCCCTCCGAAAATATGCGCGGGGCGCAAGAGCGCGGACCATCGAGTACGACGGCTTCTGCAAAGCCATAATTCCGGTAGGTGATCGCAACGCGTAAGCACGAGGAGGAGCACGCATCAGGGCGTCTACGGAAATAGCATCTACAGCCCGATTCTATAAATATGTGCGGAACGCTCGGCGGCGAAGCTCTGACGCCGCGCCGCGCCGCGCCGCGCCCTGCCGCGCAAGAAGAGGCCAAAACGTAACGAGTGTAACCCAGAAGAACGGGCTTTACTTGGCCGCCACCGTCGACCGACATTCGATCTAACCGACGCGTATTAATAGCATTTTACAAAACTTCGGCAAGTCGCTCTCGCTCGCGATCGCGGCCGCCAACGCGCGAATTTTACGCTCGCGAATCCGAGCGTCGTCTTTCTCGCCGCGAGAGACGCGCGTTTCACATATGGAAAATTCATGCATCTCCCCGATGACAATATGGGAAAATTAACGCGCGAGAATGTAAATAAATGTATTTAACGCCATGAACAACGATATTGCAATATGCAAACGAGAGTATCACTATGCAAATTTTTAATACATTAGAGATGATTATATTTATCATACAAAATAATCGAATTTATAATCACGCGGAGAAGATTCAAAGCAATATAACGTGTGAAACAACGTTAAAGCAGAAATACCGTTAAGACGATAGTTACATGCAACAATATAATATGTTATATTGATTTTCAATATGTATAAAGTTATCTCTTAAGTATTCTGCGTGTCGCGTAAAATAAATGGTTTCTCTCGAGAGACCAAGAACGAAAGTATCCAATTGCTTCGCGATTTATTTTTCAAAAAAGAAAGAAAGAAAAAAAAAGAGAAAAAGAAGATATCCGAATTGCCGTAGAAATGATCGAGATATTATTATTCACGTTGTGTCGTGTGATCCCGAGATATTAATAACTTGCCGAGGACCGCAGCTGATTACATTTGTCATCTGATGTCGAAGTGACACCCGCGTACCGTATTATAGTTATTACTCCTATCATCGAGAAAGTTGCGACAATTTACGACGATTACGTTGTCGCATCGCGGATGTTCACCGCGGGTAATTTTTTTATCGACCTTCGAGTCGATAAATTTATCATGTTACATAAAGGAGTATGTATTCGAGGGGCATTATATTCAGGAAAGTAAGTGTATGTATAACGTAATCGGATCAGCGCATGCACGCGGTTGACAGTTACAAATGCTACTTACGGCATTGCTTTATGTTAGGCCCGAAAGCAAATTCCTGAAGCGTTAGCAGAGCTGTTATTATTTGGCAGCGGTTAGATAGTCTCGCAAAGCTGTCCAGTCTCCGACATTGCGGGCCTTCGTGAAACGAACATAGCGCTTCCTGTAAGAAACGTCGTCCGTCGTCCATAATAAGAAGAATATAAATGAAATTGGACAGATTCGTAAGCCAGAGCAGATAGATTTGCCGTGTATCAGAAACACGCGTTAGATATTCGGAAATGGCGGACGAATCACACAGAGTCGGATTAATTTCGAGCACTGAATAGCAATCGGCACTGACTCGCTTATTGCGATTTTTTTTTTTTTTTTTCAGCACTTCCTCCTCTTCGGGATGGCATTTTCGCATGGCACGTTCTAATAACACTCGTGTTTCAATCAACATGATCATTCCCGCGATACCTTTCACTGCTCTCACTGTGATGATTGATATTCGCACAGAAGATTATATCCTAAAAAAAAAAAAAAAATATGCTACTTACAGAAACCGCCAGATATCCCGACGTATCGCTAAAATTCCGGAGTTAAAGCTCCATAAAAGTTCAAGTGCTGTTGGTTAGTACGGCACTATCGGTCGTAAAATCCGAAGTGGTGATCTTCGTCTTCGTCGCCACTTCCGTTCTCCACTCGCCGACGAGAGTTCGTTCCCCATCGCTCTGTCACGCATGTCTCGGAGGGTAAAGCGTAGAAGACGGAAAGTGGTAGCCAGAGAAAGAGAAAGAGAGAGAGAAACAGAGAAAGAGAAGAAAAGCAAAGCGAAGCATTTTCACTGCGGGAAAAGTGCGTTTTCGACGACGACGATGATGCACTTACCAATCCCGAGCGATCGGAGCAGCGTGAGACGAGTATCTGAGCGGAGAACGGAAAAGCCGTCGGGCGAAAAGCGCGCGGCGGAAGGACGCGTGTCGCGTCTTCGCTGGTGGGGAGCCCAAAAATGGACCGCCGCGAGCCCCCCGTAACACGTTTATTTTCTGCTCCCGCGGACCTAAGATCTGTCGTATCTTCGTCCGTCGCTGGAGCGCGACGCGTCGGCGGCCGCCCAGCATCCGTGCTCGAGCATCGTCATTGTGACGGCATCCGCGACGTTCGCTCGCCTTTCAGCGAAAGGGGTTAATTCCCGACGGATCGTCGGGAGATAGATGCTTTCGGAAGTAAGCCGTTTCGCGATCTCCGGGCGAGAGATGCGCCTGCATCTCCCAAAGTGGCTGTGAGGTTTTTTACCCTGATCGTTTCGTTGAATCAACCGCTTCGAGTTCGTGATTTTTTTTTTACGATCACTGATGCAATAATCGAGAAACTTTTAAACTCCCTTTGCGGAGAAAAAGAAGAATATACACACACACACACACACACACACACACACACACACACACACACACACTA